AACTGTACTTCCAGGACCCAAGCGGTGATACTTCACACTAGGTTAGGTTAGGTTAGCGTTGTGACCAAAACGCGCGAGCCGAGCGAGCAAAGCGAGCGTGCCGCGGCGGCGGCCGACCAGCGAAGCGCCACAAAAAAAAACGCTGTTTAAAGAGACTTATCTACAAAAAAATAAAGTATCAAGTCTTGGGCCCTGGAAGTACAGTTATACCCTATAATACCTTCGTCACATTTTTTAATTTTTGTTCGGTCCATTCCGACTTTTCACTGGTTTGGTCATGTCCACTATAAAAATTTGTAGCTCTATGTAAAATTTTTGTTCAAAATAACTTTATTATTATTATTTTACGGCTAAGCTCGGTAAATTGATCAATTTACGAAAATGTTTCCGTAAGATAATACATTTTATCTCTCGTTTACATTCTTACGAAAGTTGTACAAAACTAGCAAATTGATCAACTTACAGAATTTATTATATTCCGATGACATATCATTTCCCCTTCAACAGCAGAGATTACATAATTTGCAGACTTAAAGCGGTCGCGAATTCAGAAAGCCTTTATCATTTTAAACGATTAGTTAAAAATACATACATTAAGTACAAGATGCTATTGGCGGATTTTCTTATTCCTTAACATTTACTATATACATAACAAATTTAAACTTTGTGCATTGTTAGTTAGAATAAGTAAATGAAATGTTTATTTATAACTTAAATAAAATATTCTTTAAGAACTGTAAAAACATAATTCCTAAGCTTATTATTTGTTCGTTGATTCGCATTTGTCTCGAAGACTGTGTCGCAAGTATCAGCGTCCAAACTACAAACAAAATTAAGAATGTTCATATCTAAGTAAATAAATAGGAATGTAATGGATTACAGTTTAATTAGTATTTCAATTTGTATCGACTGGTAATTGACCGATTTAATATAAAATGAGTTAATTCCTACATTCCTACCATCATCATTAAAGCTTTTCCATCTTTGAATACACTTACAGCTTTTTAAGTGCCAGCATATGGGCTATTAACACCCTGGTGTTTTAACCATATTGAGGTAACTGCTTGTTATATATAAGCTATATACTTCCTATAAAGCTATCTTTAAAGCTATTACAGTTAATGATTTCCAGTATTTGTTCCTATACTGTACTGTATTTGTTATACAGGGCGTCCCACGGCTACCTCACACGGAGGGAAAGTATATTAAATATTGAAGATAGGATATTTTGCTGAAAGAAGACATCATTTTATTTTTAATAATAACTAGAACTACATTCACAGATTTTTTAAAAATCGCCTGCTACAACTGGGAATCAAACTTTTGAACTTTCGAAAAATAAAACACGACATATTTTATGATAGCCATCGAAAGGGTTAATCATAAGGATTATTTTTTGCTAAATAACATAGCATTTTATATGAAAGAAAAGTCATTAAATTTAACATTTTATTAAACATTTAATTATTTAACACAAACTAAAGTAAAAACGAAAAGAAGCAAGAAAACAAAATCAAATGTTCAGAATGTGATCCATTTTATTGTTTGCAAATTCTCAGTCTTTTAAATTTCTCTGCCTGTAGATTTCATTATCTTTGTGTGATGAATGTTTGGAATAACACGTCTGAGTTCATTTTGAAACTCCTGCACACTGTCGTACTGGATCTTGTATACTGAATATTTAACATAACCCCACAAAAAAAAGTCCAGTGGGATCTAATTTGTCCATAGGTAACGATCCAGGAAGAAAAGTGTTCATTAAGAAACTCGGCAGTTCTCCTACTGATATGAGTCGGAGCCCCATCTTGCTGGAAAATGAGATTTCGTCGATTTGTATCAGGAAGATTATTGATGTCATCTCTTAAAATATTACGTATTTCAAGATATCTTTCCGTGTTCAGATTCCCTTCGTAAAAATGTATAAGGAGAACCCGGTTTTTAACAATCCCACACCAATAGTTAAAAAAAAACGCACTTGATCATTAGTCTCGCGGAATCGTAAGGGATTCTGCCTGGACCGAATACGATTATTACGCCGGTTGTACATATTAGATGGCCAGCGAGATCCCCAGATTTCTAACCCCACTGGTTTTTTTTTGTGGGGTTATGTAAAAGATGTCAAGAACCGGTACGACAGTGTGCAGGAGTCACAAAATGAACTCAGACGTGTTATTACAAACATTCACCACGCAAAGATAATGAAATCGACAGGCAGAGAAATTATTAAAAGAGTGAGCATATGCATACAACAAAATGAATCACATTCTGAACATTTGATAAATTAAGTTTTTTTTTCTTGCACCGTTTCGTTTTTATATTAGTTTGTGTTAAATAAAATGATAAATTTAAAGACTTTTCTTTCATTTAAAATGCTATGTTATTTAGCAAAAAATAATACTTATTATTAATTATATTATATATTAACTCTTTCGATGGTTATGATAAAATAGGTCGTGTTTTTTTTTCGAAAATTCGCGAGTTTGATTCCCAGTTGTAGCAGGCGATTTAAAAAAAAACTGTGAATGCAATTCTAGTTATTATTCAAAATAAAATGATGTCTTCTTGCAGTAAAATATCCTATCTTCAATATTTAATATACTTTCCCTCCGTGTGAGGTAGCCGTGGGACGCTCTGTATACTCGGTGTAACTGACTACGTTTAATTACTCGGGATTTTACAAAAATAATGTCAATTAAACTATTCGTAGTCGCAATACTATTTTGTTAATATTCTAAACATATACTAATACACAAAATCACAAAATATATATTTACAAATATATATAATAATAAATTATATATGACTGACAGTTTATTAAGTATATAATACATCAAACTAAACTACATAATAATAGATAATAGCAGACATACTGGGGACATAGATACCTCTTTTCTTGTGGGTGGGTCAAGATGGTGAACTCAACTAATCATTATACAGGGTGGCCGGGGAGTTGACGTTCAAACGTAAAATTTAGATACTTTATGATGAGGAGTATCCAAATCACCCCCATGTATGTTCTAAGTTTTTGCGTAGTTTTCGAGTTATAATTTTTTTAATGATTTTTTCGTAATTTTCACTTAACATCAGTTTTCGATTTTTTCTCATTCTGTTGGACGTTTCTGGTACAGTTTTTTTGTGATAACTGACTAACATAGTCTAACCTAGCACCTAAAACTTATGGTTTATCTAGGCATTGCAGAATTTACTTAGAATTTGTTCGAAAGTTCAAAATTACGATTTGAGCTCAGTACACACCAACTTTCAAAGTATTAAAAAAATGTAAATGGCGGGATTTTGAATTCAAAGTGCTTTTAGAAACTTCCTGAAACATTAAACTTTAAAACAATTCCAAATAAAGATAGGGTTAATGGAAAAAGAAAATATTTTATTTAATTTAAATCTTTGACTTTCTAACTCATAAGTTATGATAGATTTGAACCCCAAATCCTACCATTTACAGTTTTTTTTGATACTTTGAAAATTTGTGTGTACCGGGTTAAAATAGTAATTTTAACCTTTCGAACAAATCCTAAGTGAATTCTGCAATGCCTAGATAAAACATAAGTTTTAGAGTGCTAGGTTACACTATGTTAGTCAGTTATCACAAAAAACTGAAACAGAAACGTCCAACAGAATGAGAAAAAGAACGAAAACTGATGTTAGGTGAAAATTAAAAAATGATAACACGAAAACTACACAAAATCGTAAAACATACATGGGGGTGATTTGGATACTCCTCATCATAAAGTATCTAAATTTTACGCTTGAACGTCAACTTCCCGGGCCACCCTGTATAATAATATATGAATACCCATGTGTTAATGTGATCTATATACATTTATTCCTTTATATTTTAGAGGTTGGATTTAATAACAAGAACTGTGTCATTATGCGATACTGTTGAAACACTTTTGAGACACGATTGTTAGGTTAGCATAGCAGAATCGACACCCTGCCCGATAGAAATATAAAAGATCCTAAAAACCAGCAGTACCACCCATCGAGTACGGTTCTAAGTTTTCTAAAATTCAGTAATATGCTGCTCAAATTTCCTTTTTTGTATCCGTAATTAAAAAACCTTCTACAGAGTATTAGAATACTTTAAAGGAAGATGGATGGAATCAGTTATATGCACTGAATTTATTTATTATTTGACGTTTCGCATCCTTTTCAGGAATGCATCATCAGGATGGAATCGGAATTATTCCGATGATGCTTTCCTGAAAAGGATGCGAAACGTCAATAAATTAATTAATTAATGCATGTAACCCGTTAAAAACTGTTTTATTTAATGAGTGATGTGCGTGAAACCCTAAGAAACAAATATGTATTTTTATTGCGTGTTCAGTATTATGTATGTATTATTAAAGGTCAAAATCATTTTTCGAAAGTCTCATTTTCCCGGTATTTTCGAGACCGTGACGAGTATCGTTTTTTCAGTCCCGGGACGCAAAAATGGTCAAAGACTGAAAGCTCTAGTTCACATCGAGACCGCGTGGCATATGTGCTCACCATCGATCAGGGTATTGGTAGAATATGGCCATTTTTCAAGATAGCGATTTATACTGAGCATTTTATTTTCTAGCCTTTCTTTCAAAATAAATTTAGTAGTTCTCATTTTTGTGAATTTCGATTTTGTTTAATTAAAAATAATAAGTTGTAAGGTTAATAACTTAATTACCTATCATTATACTCTACAGTAAAATTTATAGTTTCGTTTACACCGCATAGCCCATCCATCTTAAGACTTTTGACATTGACCGTATCCGAAAAACGGGATTTCCGTGCTATAAATAACTTATGGATATTCTAGAATCATAAAATATATCTAGCGAAATTTTACGTGAGCAAACTATTAGCCTATCAACAAATATTGCACAATAAGACCGTTATAGGTGAAAAACAAGTAAAGAATGGGATAATCAGTGCGACTTCGTTGACTGTTACCGCTAATGCTTTATTGACTCATGTTATCCCATCATAAGATAAGACGAGTGACAGAGCAAATTATTATATAGTCTCATGCGAGAGACGATGGCAGCAGGTGTTTAATTACTCGTCTGAAACATCCATACGATTCAGTCCGACGCGAGCTTTTCTCGGGTCCTGCCGTTCGTCCCTATTTAAAATTCTCAGTCACGCAGGTCAATAGCAGTGCCAAATAATGGGAGTCAAGAAAAAAATAAAGCAAAACAAGTAAGTCCTATTTTTATAAAAAAATGCTGGGCGAAAAAAAGATACGTCTTGTTGCGACTTTTTGTATGTGTACCGACTTGGTTCTATTTCTAATCTTTACAAATATGCATTTGATCATACAATATTATGCGAATGCAATTCTGTCTGCACCAATTTTGACAATTGGGGTATTTTGGTATTTGTATTTTTAGGTCCCGGGTTCAAATGCCGGTGGGCCAAATGTTTGTGTGATTAAGAAAGTTTATATGTACATCGAAATAAAATTATACTCATATACTCAGTATATGTATTCTATCTGTTACCGTAGTATCCCACAACACATGACACATGACCCCCCCCCCCCTGAGCTGGGTCCATCTGTACCCACTTTACAATCTGTACTTCACAATCTGTACCCACCGTGACTTGACCATGACTATATGACCCCCCCCCCTGACGCCAAAGATGGATCCACCCTTGACTTTGGGGCTAGGCTAATAAAATTGATGTTTAATAATAATAATAATATTTATTTAACAATAGTAAAATGATACTCTATGTTTGTGTGAGTAACATTGATTTATTTACTGATATAAAGGGAATGTCAATTTAAATTGACATATGGTACTTTTTATGGACCTTTATGACGCAGTGGTAAGCGTATACCGTCCGCATTCATGGAACTTGAACAACTTTCACCATAGCTGGTCATAGAATGGGTGATCAGGGATAAATAAAAAAAATTGTATTATTTGTTCATGTTTTTACATAGATAGATATTTTACCCTTTGTTTTTACCCTTTGGGTACGGAAGCCTAAAAAGCAATAATATTATTTTTCGTGTTAATATTATCACAATAACATTGCAGTAGGTATTAACCATTACTTATTTTTTTTTCAGACCCGTTGAAGCTGAAATCGATAATGAACTGAGAGTACCTTATTTTAAAATTGTAAGTAAAACAATACTCTCAACCTCCGACAAGAGGGCCACATGGTGGTTTAACTTCGATTGCATAGATCGCTGTCCTGTCCGAATTGCTTTACTGATTTAATGAATGTATCCGTAGCTGCCACTTATGCCGTCACATCGAACTAAATAATTATCCCCGTCGGTACATAGCCCGATTAAGTTTTATTTAAGTTTTTTGTCTAAGACCTTGATCTCTCTTGGATCTTTGGCCCAATTTAGGTTAATCACTGCACCGTTATTGTTTGAAAGTTATTAAAGTTCATAACGCTGAAGCGACATAAGTTTTGATGTTTTTGAAACAATGTCGCTTAAGCCCTACTATTTGGCGTATAATTTGATGTTTGCTTAACTAAAAATGTATGACGGGCTGAGTGATTTTCTCTTAATTGTCATTTTATTCGTAAAGTAAAGACACTGCACTAAGTAACACTTTTGATATTTAGAAATTATTTTGTATTTTTTTCATTGCACTATTTCCCATGATTAATTATGATTTCTTTTGTGAAAAATAAAATTTGCTCCTTGTTTCTGTAAAGTAACTCAAGTGGCGTTAAAGCGATTTTGCTTTTCCACTGTCGATTATTAAGATATTTTTCCGTTTATGTTCATATTCATAAATAAATATAGCAGGAAAGAGAAACTGTAAACATTATTACTGTATTTAAAATAATCCGATTAACTTTCCGTAATAAACTTTGTTATATCGAATTTCCACCTTACAGGATAATTACAAATAATGTTTATAAATATGTAGTTCATTAATGGAATATGCCTCGCAGTAATACAATCTTATCTTCCATTGTTATATTGAGCGGTCTGTAGTTTATATAAGAGGTTAGCGTAAATATTGTTTGTAATAATATACAAGTGCACATATAGAATATTATGATAAAATCTGTTATAACAACAAACTTGTGTAGTAGGGCTAACCGAATTGCAGACAGTATATGATAGTAAAGCCACTTATATCGCTCATGAACTAGGGGCGAAGATTTAATATCTGTCTAAGACCTAAAATTACCGGTTATTGTATTTACTACTAATTAGACTTTTAAGTCCAATAAAACATAATATCAACAGTGGAAAGGAAAAAGAAATGCACGCCACTCAATCGATGTGTTAAGGTTAGAAGCCAATTGTAAGCTATTTTTCGCGTTTCATTCGCAATGCGATATGTGGTTGACATACACGCAGCCCAAGCGGAGAGCGACCACCATCTGCAAGTAGTCACCGTCAAGTAGAGTGCCCATATGAGGAGAAGGTAACGCGTGCAGCCACGCCCCGGATTCAGGCCGCGACACTGCCAAAAGCCTCGCCAGATCGACTTCCATCTCACCATCAGTTAGTAATTCAAGTGTAGCTTTACAATTTATGTCATCCCATGAGCGCTGGAACTGGGGGTTCCTAGGCACGGCCGCGCCCGGGATAAGAGCCAATCAGGTTGCCAAAGCATCGGTCGCAAAGGGTACGGTCACCCTGTCACCATTCATAGACAGAATATTAGCGACAAGGCCCAAAACCCCATAGGCCGACACCAAGAAAGCCGGCAGACTCACATCCCTAACACAACGCACCCCAATCCCCCCGTAATATATGTATATTTATTTATATGTCTGTGTGTTAGTATAATGTGGGATACGTGCACAGATCTTTCCGACAAGCATGAAAGTTTGAGGGTAACTCTGTATATATATATATATTGTCGTGAGCGTCACACACGACAATATATATATATACAGTCGTGGTCAACTAATTAGGGACAATCTCTAGTTAAGCCAAATTGTGATTTTTTTTATTTTTTTTCATCGAGTTTTAAAATATTCCATATCTTTTACATGTAAGTATAATTAGTCATTGATGTGCCCGATTATACAAACAATAACAACTTCTTAAACATTAAACCTCTTTACAGTATAGCTGATAGATTATCATAGTGCTATTTGTTCAAATAATGCTGGCTGGCCATTTAATTAGGGACAATGAGATATTGCGTTCTATTTTCAAAATTTAAATCTCAATACTTTTTTACTTCTTCTCTTATTGTTTCGTGGTAGTTTTGGCGGCAATCCCGATTTTATTTTGAGTTTTGAAAAATATTTTGAAGAAAAATGGGCAAAAATAAAAGTTGCGATCCAACACTACGAAAAATTATCATGAAGTTTGTTGTAGAGCATGGTTGGCCATACCGAAGATAGCAGAACATTTAAATTGTTCAAAAACTATGGTATACAATGCAGTGCAACATGTCAGACGCAATAACACAGCTTTAAATGTGCCCAGAACGAAAACATCGAGAAAAACAACTCCACAAGAAGATAGAATGATAACCAGGTTAGCTAAGATAGATCCGTTTCTAGGCTCTATTTTAATTAAACACGAAGTGTTTGGGGCAGACGAAAGAGCTGGTGTCTCAGCGAGGACCGTTCGACGACGTCTGGTAGAAGCAGGGTTGTTCGGAAGAGTGGATCGCAAAGTACCGTTGTTAAAGAAAGAACATAGAAATGCTCGTTTGGCGTTTGCACGTAAATATGGACATTGGACCTACGCCCAATGGCAACATATATTATTCTCTGACGAGACCAAGGTTAATTTGATTTCTTCAGATGGAAGGCAATACGTACGGCGTCCAGTAAAAGCAGAAATGAATCCAAGATTCACAAAAAAGCAGGTGAAACATGGCGGTGGAAACATTAAAATGTGGGGTTCATTTTCTGGACGTGGAGTGGGACCTGTGAGGAAAGTTCAGGGTAACTTAGACCAACATCAATACGAGGCAATATTGGAGGAAACGATGCTTCCCTATGCTGAGGAGCATCTCCCTATTATATGGATGTTTCAGCAGGATAACGACCCGAAACATACCGCTCGTTCAGTCAAGTCGTTTCTTACCAGTCAGTCAGTATCGGTGCTAGATTGGCCAGCAAATAGCCCGGACCTTAACCCAATCGAGCACCTTTGGCACGAAATCAAGAAAAAAGTTGCCACTTATCGTACCACAACTTTAGATGAACTTAATGAAGCTTTTTGTGTGGCATGGGCAAACATTCCTGTCGAAATATGCCAGAAACTGATAATGTCTATGCCACATCGTTGTCAAGCGGTAATTACTAACAAAGGTTTTGCTACGGGGTACTGATTTTACACGTAATAAAATGGAGCTGTTAAAGATATTATAATACTGCAGATTATTAGTTTTGTTTAACTCTATTTTTCATTATAGTTTAATGTCCTTAATTAAATGTCCAGCCACAGAATTATACCTTAAAATTGAATACATGTTCAACCTTTGATATTAAATACTTTTTGAAGTTATACTTCTTTAGGCGCGTTATGAAAAAATGATGAGAGTGAAATTTTTAGATGCGCGCGCATCACTGTAACCCAAAAGTAACAGCATGAAGTTGGCCGCGGGCGCGTTATGAAAAAATCATGTGAGTGAAATTTCGAGATGCGCGCGCATCACTGTAACACAATAGTAACACCATGAAGTTGGCCGCGGGCGCGTTATGAATGTTAGTGTCTAATAATGGTGGATTATTAACCACTTAGTGGTTAATAATCCACCATTATTAGACATCTGTTCGAAAGGTACTTTGAACGATCCACGGAGCTAGATAAGATGATCGCGTTGTCAAAAACAATGTTGGCACGCTCGTCGCCTCTGATCACTGTTTTCATATTTATAAAATTTATCCACGTGTTTCTAGTTTCTATATAGACACAACGTGTTTTAGTTACTTACAAGTGCTAATTACATATGGACTAATAACTTAAATTCAGTAGTGATTTTAATTGAATATTTTGAATATTTATTTAATTTTTCAAATTAAAACTGAACTTAATTGACTGTGTTAACTATCCTTTTCCAGTCCTTTTTTATTTTATTGTAATTATTAATTATTTGCATGCAATTAAAAAATATTTTTAGTGATGCTAAAGAAGTATAACTTCTCACGCGCGTACATAAGTTACACGCATCCTTTTTTCTATTTATTTATTCTTTTATTTACAGCCATTTATAGCAAAATAATCGGACCAAATTATGCAAATAATAGGTGCTGAGAAATTAATAGGGTTTTATATTTATATGTAACATAACCGGTTATTGCTCTTCATTATCTTGAAAGTCTATATAGAAAGATATATATATATATATATATATATATATATATATATATATATATGAGTGATGCGTGCGCTGCTACATTCCCTTATGCACCGCCTAATGTTAGGTTATTTTAGAAACGAAGTTTCACTTCTTGTGGGCCGCTTCTTTCTCACTTCCTGCTTTCACAGCTCCGCCGACCCTGACTACAATCCAAACCTGCCCCACCAGTAACATAACGCCATAGAGTTGTGTTTTTTTCGTGTGCAGTGTTTTATTAGCCTCTACGACAGTAAAGTGGAAGTTACTTCATCAGACGGGCGCTGTAATTCAAATGGAAACTCGATGTACCTTTAAAATATTTTATAAAAGTTAGCACCCGGCACATTAGAATATGAAATGTAATGATTTCGATATCGTCTTTTCAAGGGGGTATTCTAAAATCGGCATTGACTAAATAGTTGAACTGGATCTTTTCGTGTTCCATTCTACGGCATTAGAAGAAGGACGACTATGACGATCACGCTAAATCGAAAACCAACTTTAAGTACATTTAATTAATTGTAACGCGTGATGTTCATGACTAATACAGTAATTTGAATATGTCTCTATAGTTCCGATATGCGAATTGCTTGGAGGTGCTGGCCACAACCATGGGCCTCATATTCGGTTTCCTGAGCGGCGGTGGCATTTGCTACAACCTGGCGCAATTCGGAGAGCTCAGCACGTCCTTCGTGGAGAGGACGAAGTACCAAGATCGACTGTCTAGCAAGTTGCCGCTAACATCCTTATTCGGAGGTGGTCGGAGATTGTGAGTATATAATACTTAATGTATTATGCTAATGCTTATCCCTTAGGTAATAAAAGGCACTAAAATTAAGGTTCGAAATTTGAAGTAGTATCGTAAGTACACTCACTTACATTTTTTTTACACAGTTTGAATTAACTTTGATTATTTAAAAAAAACTACAATGAAACGAAAGCTTTAAAAAATTTTCAACAATATTACTAACGATAACATATAAATAAAACATTTCGATGTTACTGAGCTGGTACGATTGCACGCATCACACGAAAACATTACCTACTTTTGATAGTGCTCGATTGTGCGAAGCGTAAGCGTTGCTGTAGTTTTAAAAAACATTTAAAGTTAAGCATTATGCCGCATAATGCGCTCTATTGCTGAATTGGAAAACTACCACAATAGTCTCCCACAACCTCTTTTATGCGTGTCAAAAATCGCCAGTCAAGCTATCGTCTTGTGTCAATAGACACGCAGCTCGATGATTCATTACGATAGAACTAAATCCAAATATCGAACGTTAATTTTAGCGCATTTAGTACCAACCTTCGTCGCACAGGGGTAGTCGGGGATCGCAGGATCAGACTAAATTATTATAATAGCTTATGGCAGTGCCAAGCTCAGAGACAAGTAAAAATTTGAGCTAGTCACCCAATTTAGCGCATTGACTGTAGTCTGGTCACCTCCGAGTGCTATACGTCTGTTTATCACGGTTGTAGGCACTAGGCAAGTGGGGTAAGCCGAGCACTAAGCGATGAACATTGTAATGAGAATACATAAGAAAAATAAGAGAGAGATATCCTAAAATTTTCAAATATTGCTGATTTAAAATGTTTGTTCTCTGCCCGTAGCAGGAGCACTGCGGAATGACAATAATAGGTTTATTGTCATTCCGCAGTGCTCTATCACGCTCAATTGCTGAGTAATTTGACAGTAAGACGTGATAAAAAAAAAATGTTTGCGTGTAACTTATGTACGCGCGTGAGAAGTTATACTTCTTTAGCATCATTAAAAATATTTTTTAATTGCATGCAAATAATTAATAATTACAATAAAATAATAAAAGGACTGGAAAAGGATAGTTAACACAGTCAATTAATTTTTCTAGTAAACTTTTCTTTAGATTTAAACAGTCAATTAAGTTCAGTTTTAATTTGAAAAATTAAATAAATATTCAAAATATTCAATTAAAATCACTACTGAATTTAAGTTATTAGTCCATATGTAATTAGCACTTGTAAGTAACTAAAACACGTTGTGTCTATATAGAAACTAGAAACATGTGGATGAATATTATAAATATGAAAACAGTGATCAGAGGCGACGAGCGTGCCAACATTGTTTTTGACAACGCGATCATCTTATCTAGCTCCGTGGATCGTTCAAAGTACCTTTCGAACAGATGTCTAATAATCCACCATTATTAGACACTAACATTCATAACGCGCCCGCGGCCAACTTCATGGTGTTACTATTGTGTTACAGTGATGCGCGCGCATCTCGAAATTTCACTCACATGATTTTTTCATAACGCGCCCGCGACCAACTTCATGCTGTTACTTTTGGGTTACAGTGATGCGCGCGCATCTAAAAATTTCACTCTCATCATTTTTTCATAACGCGCCTAAAGAAGTATAACTTTAAAAACGTGATATAATGTAAATTGTAGTGCTCTCGCAAAGATAAAAAATACGGATTGTTACTGTGTTCATTACTTTTTTCTTTATCTTTTTTAGTATAAATCAATGCGCTTATTTTATCATTATTTATCCACCATTACTCTAAAATTCCCCCCCAATTTTTTTGAGGAAATCAACGCTTTTTTCATTGTGTTTCTTCTTTCACGCAATATTTTGTTATTATATTATTTGCTCTGACTTTATACGCGATGATTTTTTTTTACCATCACATTGCTGTACCACCATCTTTCATAATGTATACTGAATCTTCTTACTTCTTAAATTCAATTGGACAACTATGATGGCATCACATGACTTGCCCAATGAGGTTAATTTCTGTTTTTTAGAGTAAACGCTTCCCATCAAGAGAATATGGACGCTCTAGTAGAAGATGGTAAAAGCATGGCAATCGGAATGTTCCTAAGTATAATTATCTCAATGATATTCTGCGTGCTCTCCACTGCACTGATTAGTTGGAGTGCGCTTAGACAGGTGAGTTATTATCTTTTTATGGATAGCGGTAAACTTCTTGGGCAAAACCACAGGCAAATAAACTTGTCGTAGACGTCTTTGTATGTAAAATTGCTACTACGCAGGCGGAGTTTTTGGCGAAAGGACAATGGGAAAAACATTATGGGACTTGGGCCTGCTGACCAATACACATGAGATATTGTTCTTGCGATAGGTCATAATACACAACTAACGAGAAAAATAATAAAAAAAAATGTACCGGGTTGTTGTACAGTCACGTCGAAAAGTTTTATTTATTTAAGTTAAATATTTTGCAATTAATAATTGTTTTTCAATACGAATGAAGGAATATTACCCTAAAATAGGACTAGAGCTACCCAAATGCTGTTGATTGCAATATTTGCAGTTTAAAACACCTCTTACGTCATCCATCGACAATTACGTATAATAATAAATACAATAAATGAAACAACAAGTTTTTTATTATTATTCTATATCTAGAATAATAGAATCTAAAAATGCGGCTGGAGGGTTAAATCCATTCATTAATCTAGCTAAACTCATATACCAAACTACGGATAAAATGTGCGCACAGCTTCTCAGCGTACGACTTCGGGTCAAACAAGTACAATAATATTGTAAAATAGAGCTGATGCCAGTTTGGTCTCTGTCAATTAAAATGTAGCCACGATACTCGCATGCCCTCGCATGTCGTGATTGAATATGAAGTCTAATCAAAAATACATTTGTTTGAAAGATATTAAAATCTGTCAAATCTTCTAATTGCTCGTCTGGATAAACCTCAATTATGTAAACGCCATCCCGTAAATGTTCACTGCAGTAAGACCTTGCCAGTTTCAATTGATATGTGTCCAGCGCGAAATTTCTTTGATTGTCTTCTAGTCTCACGAAAGAAATCCTTTGTCTGTTAAGATGCTTTCGCTCTACATATTCTTGCAAAATGTTAGGTGTGTGTACCCGTTCCTGTATGCGGTTTATTATCGCAGGAGCGCGTTCACTATCACTGATTACAGGATGAAAATGGTTAATTAATGCTCCGCATACCTTAAAATCATCAAACATGTGCAAAAGTACTTTGTTGAAGTATTCCTGGCGTAAAAGTTAATAGTCACGCTTAAAACGCCCGTGGTTTCTCTCTCTTTCACGCGCCCCGTTAGCATTCGCGTGTTATCTTGCTTGAGGACTAATCGCACACAATGCCAATATAATAAGCAACGGTCTGCAATTCACTCTCGCATAGGTACATAGAACTTTTATTACGTCCTCTAATACTCGAAATACACTTATTATTTTTTTGTAACAGGTATATTGTGTTATTATAATCCCATGTGGCTCTATGTGGTTAGAATTAGTGACTTTAGTCATTATTTTAAAGTAATATTCTTTCACTCCTATTGAAAAACATTTAATAATTGAAAAATATTTATGGGATAGGAGGGTAGTCGCCAAGTTAACAGCAAATTTTTGTAGCTCTGCTTATTTTAAGTTTTAAAAACAGTAATTTTCAATATATTCTAGTAAACTATATGCTAAAATTTGAGGCATAGATATCGCTACTTGCCTGCAGTGTCTTTCCTATTTCTATCTCCTCTAACTACCGCAACACTATGGACCACGCACAACTGGAGTCAAACATAAACAAGATGGCAAAGATGTTTGAGGAAAAGATGACAGAGTTCCAGGCTGAGCTCAACCAGGCGTCACGTAAGAACCCTAGCAGCATAGCAGCACTCAACACAGAGTTCACCAACTTTAAAGCTTTTGTCTGTAATGGCTTGACAGTACTTCGTGCAGAGATGAACGCTCTTAATAATAGGGTTGAGCGGATCGAGATGCGTTTTTGCAGGAAAATGTTACTGGTCCACGGCATTCCCGAAGCCAAAGATGAAGACACTTGCGCCACAATCGTCTCCAACTTGGTCAAGTGCAACGTGCAAAATCTTACGTCTGGCAGCATCACCGCAAGTTATAGGATGGGTAAGCTCGTAGCCGATAACCCTAATCCGCGGCCTATTGTGGTTAAGTTTGCTGATGCGAAGGTGCGGACAGCTTTATGGAACAAAAAAGTCGCACTCAAGGGTTCGAAGATAACGCTGTCCGAATTTCTTACGAAATCCCGACATAATGTCTTCATGGCGGCTAGGGATAAATTCGGCGTTAAAAACAGCTGGACTATGGATGGAATCATTCATATCAAGACACCGGACGGCAAGAGACATAAGTTAGAATCCATGTCGGAGTTTCTTGCACTCTCCGAAAGTATGCCCGTTAACAAAGTGTAGCTCCAGCTTCGTAACTGTTTTATCATGTCGTTGTGTGTTTTTTACCCACTTATTTCTTTAACTCATAATTTGTGTGCAACTTTGATTGTGAGGTAAACTTTAATTTTATTTTCCGTTTGTAATGTTTACAACAGCTATTTGTCATTATCAAACAAAGTGACAATGTCATTCGGCCAACCCGATGTGTCAAACCTCACTGACAGATATTATTCGTTCGGAAATGCGTTTTCCTTTGTGGTAAGCACGATTTGTCCATTCAGCCAATGTCAAATAAAACGAAGATGCATTTGTTGGTTGGGTGGCATTGTTTAATTTTGCCTTGATTTTTATTTTATTTTCTCTTTCTTGACATAAAATCATGGTCTAATGGTAAACTTTAAAGTTAATTTATTAAGTGTTATTATTTATATGTTTGTCTTGTTTCTTCTTTGATGTTGTTATGTTTGTGTAGTTGGTGCGATTCTCTTTCACACTGCCGGCGGAACGTAGCGATAAACGTAGTTTTTTTTTTTTTGATATTTAATCATTTATATATTTTGTAATATTCGTATTTATTCATATAATATCTAATATAATAGTATTTTTAATAACATATTATGTTACAGATGGATAACGACTCAGACAATTCACTAAGCGACAGCTCCGACTTTTTTTCCACTTCCTCTTTAATTGATAGCAGCTTCCATAGTTTATCTCAACCTCTCGATTTACAGCTCGAGTCCATATTCTCAACTACTCGAAAAAATTTCAACATAGTGCACATAAATGCTCAAAGCATTCCCGCACACTATGCGGATTTAGTGTCCACCTTCTCTAACAATCAGAATATACATGCTATCCTGGTATCAGAAACGTTCCTCAAGCCCTGTCTGCCTTCCATTACTTACTCCCTTCCTGGATTTCATCTAATCCGTAATGACAGGACTGGCAAGGGTGGTGGTGGAGTTGCAATATACCTCAAAAATAATCTCCCTTTTAATATTCTCGATAAGTCTCCTTCTCAGTATTCTGTATCTTCCGAACATTTGTTTATAGAGGTTCTCCTAGGCCATCTCAAAGTACTTCTCGGGGTGTTTTATAGCCCCAACCTCCACATTGATTATTTTTCAAAATTTGAGAACTTATTGGAGACTTTTGTACCAACAGCTGATCACACAATAATTATGGGTGATTTTAACACCTGCTTGCTGAAACACGATTCTCGATCATCACGACTGTGTTCAATTGTGGATTCCACCGATCTCAGTATTCTTCCTTCTTCTTCAACGCATCACTTTCCTGGTTGTCAGCCATCCTTGCTAGATCTTGCCATAGTCTCCTCCACCGATCTTGTTAGCTCCCATGGTCAGTTGTCTGCTGAAGCCTTCTCCTATCATGATCTCCTTTACCTTTCCTATAAAATCCGTTGTCCTAAACCCAAACCCCGAGTAGTCATGCAACGGAACTTTAAAAACTTTGACGTGATCAGCTTCATGACTGATCTTAATGATATTGATTGGGATGCGGTATTTAACGCCTCAACTATTGATGGGAAGATTGAGTTATTTAACTCGATGCTCATCGAAGTATTCGATAAGCATGCGCCTCTGCGTCCTGTGCGGCTGAAACACCTTCCTGCTCCCTGGCTAACACCAGATATTAAGGCCTTAATGTCCAAACGTAATGAAGCAAAGTTGCGATACAGAAGGAATCCTTGTGATGCAACACTTTTTAAATACAAGGAGCTCCGTAACCGATGCAGCAGGATTTGCAGAGATGCACAACGAAAATATATTCATGCCTCTGTATCGAACGGTGATCCTGCGAAGGTGTGGTCATTCCTCAAATCACTTGGTATTGGTAAGGTTAACTCATCTTCTCCTTTGAAACTTGATCCCGATTCCTTGAACCTTTACTTCACAACACCTTCGTCCATCCCGTCTTACGTAAAGCTATCTACGCTGCAAAAACTGTCCGCGGATCATTATCCGAAGAGTCAGTCATCATTATCCTTTTCTTTTAGACCTGTGACCGAGTGTGAGGTCGAGCGATGCATTTCGGCTGTAAAGTCCAACGCTGAAGGGTTGGATGGAATTAGCCGGAAAATGATTTTATTAAGTTCCACGACACTTCTTCCTATACTCTGTCACATTTTTAACTTCTCACTTAGCACTGGGTCATTTTCACGCTGCTGGCGTGTTGCATCTGTTCTTCCCATTCCAAAGTTATCCAATCCTAGTTTACCTTGTCACTTTAGACCTATTTCCATTCTCCCGTTTCTTTCCAAAATCCTTGAGCGACTTGTCCATCACCAGATCAATATATTTGCTAACACTGAAAAGATTCTGAGCCCTCTTCAATCTGGTTTTCGCCCAGCCCATAGTACGGTAACTGCCTTGACAAAGATAACCGACGATATACGCGAAGGCATGTCTAATCAACGTGTGACACTTCTAGTACTCCTAGATTTCAGTAATGCTTTTAACACCGTTGATTTCGACATCCTCTTAACAATGTTGAGGTCGGTCTTTGTGTCGGATGTGGTAGTAGATTGGTTCCGAGATTATCTTGTTGGGCGACAGCAATGTGTCCGTTTTGATGACAGGCGCTCTGGGTTTTGTGATGTGACTGCTGGAGTGCCTCAGGGTGGAGTCCTATCTCCTTTCCTTTTCTCAATTTTTATCAACTTCCTTACTCCTCTCCTCACCTGCCAATACCATTTGTATGCTGATGACCTACAAATTTACCGTCAGGCTCCTGTTGAAGATATAAATAATTTGATTGCACTTGTCCAGGACGACCTCAAGGTCATATACGACTGGAGTTCTGCCTACGGCCTTTCGATCAATCCCAGCAAATCCCAAGTCATCCTCATTGGGGGTCCAAACAAATTTCCAAGCTGGATGTTGCTAATCTTCCTCAGCTCTATTTTAATTCTTCTCCTCTGCCGTATTGCAACACTGTTAAAAATTTAGGTGTAATCTTTGACTCCACACTCTCTTGGTCTCCTCATGTTGCTGAGGTCAGTAGGAAAATGTTTGCTGCTGCCGGTTCACTGCGCAGATGGAAAAATCTTCTCCCTATAAAGACCAAAATTGAACTTGCGCAATCACTCCTTTTGCCTATTTTGGACTACGCTGACGTTTGTAACATTGACCTAAATGAAGTACTTCTAGACAAACTTCAGCGTCTCCAGAATCTTTGCATTCGCTTCATTTATGGCCTCCGCAAATTCGACCATGTGTCCGAATTTAGAAGGGAGCTAAAGTGGCTTCCTATTAGACTGCGTCGTGAAGAACATGCTCTCACTTTGCTATATAATGTGTTGTATGACCCTCGCACTCCCCCTTACCTTAAGGAACGTTTCAAATTTCTAGGTACGGACCACAACCGCATGTTGCGCTCCAAAAATGATAATTTGTTGGAGATCCTTTTAACTCGCTCAGAATACTATAGGGATTCCTTTACAGTTAAAGTGGCTCAACTTTGGAACAAGCTGCCGTCTGAAATCCGGAGTTCAAAGTCACTTCCCATATTTAAAAGTAGATTACATACTCTCCTTCTGCTGCGAACTTAGTCTACTTTAACATTACATATGTTGTTAGTATGTAGGTATATATTTATGTTCAATTATATATATTTATATGTGGTATGTATGTATATATATATATATATAATATGTATATGTAAGTGTATGATAGACAATTACTTATATGTACGTATATTATATTAATTACATTTCTCATCGACTCTGCTGGCTTACTACATCTTCTTTTCCGTTTAGCTTACCTATACCGCGAAGGTTGTCTGGAAGAGATCGCTTGTAGCGATAAGACCGCCTTTGCCCATATTATTGTTATTAATGTATTGTTTGTACCTATGTCCTTATGTATGTGAGCAATAAAGTGTTTATTATTATTATTATTAATATTTGACATAATTAATTAAAACTTTTCGACGTAGCTGTACAAGAACCCGGTACATTTTTTTTATTATTTTTCTCGTTAGTTGTGTGTTATGACCTATCACAAAAATATTATCTCATGTGTATTGGTCATTAGGCCCAATTTGACGCATTGTCCTTTTATCAAGTGTGGTTGGCGTCTTATTTGAATTATTCTTAAATTCATTCATAGTAGATATTGTGAAATAAAGCTGACTTGATACATTTTGTGCCAAACACTTCGAGAAACATTAGAAGGCGTCACATCCAAATTCTAATGTAAAAAAAGGAAGATTAATATAAAAATAAGACGATGGCTGCAAGGCGTTGCCTTTGCTTTTCCCAATAGGGAAAAATAGAACAGAAAAAAATAATTGCACGGGTTTCCTTTTTTATGGTCGTTGCCCAAGAAGTTTGCCGGGTTGTACACCTATTACTTTTTTACTCTATTTCAATCAGTTTCTATTAGTCCACCCGCTTAGCCTCACTTTTAGTAATGCTAACAACGGCCCCAGGTTCGAATCTTGGATGAGGTTAATATTTATGTGCATTTTCCTACCAGCATTTTCATACGTTGATGTTATCTAGTGCTCATGTGCTGAAGTTAGGGTTAAGTGGGGGACTGTATAACAAGGGACACAGTATAACAAAAGGAATATCTTCGTATTACACCCGGCAATTTGAATTCCAATGACAGCTGCTTTAGATGGCAGCATATGAAACTAATAAAACCACGTCAAGAAAACACATATCCAAAGAAGAAACGGCAGATATATTCCTTATGTTACACTGTGCCCTTTATGTTACACCGTGCCCCTTGTAACACTGCTCCCACTTGACCCGACTTTATAGTTTGGAAGTTGTATATCTTGTTACTACGACAATAGACAGTTTGAATTGGCGATAATCAAATTTTTCGATCTGATTTTTCTGGCTACCTATGCAGGTATGAAATAAGTGTTAATAACTGAAACGCTCAGAGTGTTGGTATCAATTCACTGTATTTTTTAACATTAGCCCTGATGTGACAGAGGGGCAAGTATTTTAATAAATTATTGGTGTGTGCAAATATAATAAACAAGAAACTAAATAGATTGCTATGTTTACTCAGACTAAGTACCGATACATGAAACAAATCAATTGCGTCTGTTAAGAGACCTCGCTTTATATTGACTCAATGTTCTTTACACTCGCAGCGTAAATTATTACCAATGACCAACCAATGCAATGGCGAGGACTGATTTCAGTTCAAGGCACGGATGTTTTAATGCTTCACATATCATAGATAAGTTCTATAAATGTATGATAAAACGATACATGAATATGTATTCTAAAAAAACTTTTAGAATCCAAAATAATAAGAAAAAAGAGAATTTATTATTTATTGTTACACGCTATAGCTATGCTTTTCTGCACTCACTTTTTACCGCGGAGTTATTATATGAAATTTATTTTAAATGCGTATTCTTATTTCAAATAACACCGCTGATACTGAAGCGAATTTTAGAATTTCAGAGTATGATTTTACATTTAATTTTGCTGAATTCGTCAACAGATCAAAAGAATCAGAATACTTTTCCTGCAATCAGTACTTCGCCAAGACATGTCATGGTATGACACAGACTCGGGGTTCAATTTGGCTTCGAAAATGACCGAGTGAGTATCCAATTAATTAAATTTTAACATTAACATGTTACCATACAGAATCTACAGAATTCATACAAAAGGCTACACCTATTTTCCTGAAACATATATCGACAAACTATCGCTACAGTTTTTTCGTCATTTTTTTCTTTAAGGTGATCTTTTTTATATTAAAAATCAGTGGTAAACATACCATGAATATGACCTGCCCGATATTAATCAACCACCAAAACAATGACCTTTTGATGCTTGTGATACCAACGGATCATTCATTGGTTGTGTACCCTGACCCCATCTACACTTACTTACTGGAAAGCCACCACAATAGAAAGATGGAAGTGATTTTCACAAACAGGCGCTCCTTTTCGAACTACGTTCCGCAATGGACACTCACAAGGCAAATCAGTGGGAGTTTTTTAAATCGGTACGAATCGGTCGATACGGTTCATAACATCCGAAACAATTTACCATAGATATTATTGTGTACCTACTTATAACTAAGAACGTAGAATATCCTGATCCTGAGCAATTAAAGCAAAGACTTGTTTGTTTAATTGTCAAAGATAATCTGTTGTACTTAATATTAATATTGCCTTTGTTTAAATATTCTCAAATAAAATATGTAAAAAATTTAATAACGCCCAATTACTTATCAACAATCAACATAATAATAATAATAATAATCAACAATACAAACAACAATCAAAAAAATTGGAAGATGTAGCTTACTAAATAGAACAAAACTATAAAAATCCCTCTTTTCTTTGGCTAGGAACATGATGAAGCTGAAGGAAGGGTTTGGAGAAAAGCTGTCAGTGGTGTCTAACCTAATAGGCACGGGTGTGATCTGCCTGGCAGTATCTTTTCCTCTCGGCTGGGAATTGACCTTAGCCTGCTGTACAGTTGTACCGTTCTCTATTGCAGCATCTGTTGTTCTTTCCAACGTACGTATTCACAATGTCAAAACTCACGAAAGTTTAAACAGTAATGACCACTTGCGTAAAATACTTAAATCAGTCTTAATCCTTTTTAACATTCATACTATCTCACATTATGGACTTCAAAATTCTATATTTTTTTATGTTCAAAGGATGCCAAACAAGCGTATGGTAAGCTGCCACCATAGCCTACAGACGCTTGCGATACCAAAAATATCACTCGCACCGTTGCCTACGCTACTACAATCCAGAATCAAGGATCTATGGCTCCATAGGGTAGCTATGGACCTATAGATCCTTACCGACAAAAACACAACACTACACTACCACAAGGTAGCGTTATTTTACTGTGATCTCCTGTAAGGTGGAGGTTACTTTCCCAGACGGGCTTTCCAATACGAGCGTAAAATCCGCTATGCCCTACCTCTCTTAAATTTATTGCTCATTCATAAATATTTTTTTGTTATTAATAACGAATTAAGAAATAATGAGGTTAGGACATAATTAGGTTTTAAATTTCATAAACTTTGTTGCAAGTGGCTCCATAATCTTATGGTATCCAAACCTGAATTTCCAAATTTTAGTATCAAACCAACTCTTCTATTCGAGAATTGGATTCCTACAGTCAAGCAGGGAAACAAGCTGAAGAAGTCCTGAAATCAGTTCGAACCGTGGTGGCTTTCGGTGGTGAAAATAAAGAAATCGAGAAGTAAGTAGCTTATGACGATATTACTTGTACTGTTAAACGACTAATATATAAATTAACGAATGGATTTGACTACTCTCATACGAGTTGAGTAAGTATTTATTACCAATATACAATACAGCAATATATTATGCTTAGTATTATCATGTGTTCGTATATTTTCCAACTTTCATAATTTTTTGAAACTATAAAATTAACAAGAACAATAAATTTAGAATACTATGTTAAACATTATTATACCAAATACTTGTTTTTGTAATAACACAAATTGCAGACATAGAATCAATTTATGGGGGTTCCATATATAAAACTATTGTGTTAACATTGCAAATTCCAACTGTTTTGTGTATTATTGCAAACGTCTGATAGTGTAGTATATGGGTGCTTTATGATAACATTTTATTGTGATAATTTAGCTTTTATTATGGGCTAATTAAACGTTAATTACTTCCTCAATGTTACTTAACGCTAAATCTACAATAAATTTATCCGGATGATAAATCTACGATAAATTTCGTTGGTCGCTCTAAGTACAGTGTATTATGGACAGCTTTTTACGAATTTAGGCGCCTACCTCTACGGGTAAGGAAGCTCTCATTTAACAACATGCACTGAGTAAAGAATCTGTACAGATTCGGTACAGAAACGAAAACGAAACGAGCCCGCATCGACACGGTGAGGAAGACGCCTTATATTCTAAAAAAGAAGTAAAATGATTCATGCGATGCCGGTAAAATGTTTCCTTATTTACTTCAAATACCTACTTATATCTTTATGATACACATTTATTATAATATTCACATAGATTGAAACACTTTTTCCGTGTAATAATAATACATTTTCTAGTTAAATATAACTAATGCTTTTATCCAAAAATACGTGAATATTTGTTTGTTGAGTTTATAAATTTAACCGTCGATAGCTTATTTTTTATAATTAGCTTCCATTCGCGACCATTTGTCTGCTTAAGTCTTTTTAAAATCCCACAGGAACCTAACATTTTTCGGATATAAAAAACCCGTATGTGTATATTCAAATCACAAACTTGAAGTGTACGAAATATTCATCCAAACCCTTTCAGTAATTTTTGCGTGATTGAGTTACACAAACTTTCACATTTATAATATTAGTAGGATATTAAGGGATTGAATAGTTTCGGTAATTTTAGCTTATTTATAAACTTAAATAAATAAAGCGTTTTGGGAATAGTTATGTTGTTGACTGTTGTTTAAAGTAAGTCACACAACAATACTAAATTGTTGTGTGTGTTCAACTCCCATAGGTATAGAAAACTATTGGAGCCAGCCGAACAGTATGGACGAAAAAGGGGAATATACACAGGTCTCGGCACGGGTTTCAACTGGATCCTGACATACTCCCTGAATGCCATAGGACTGGCTTACGGGACGAGACTCGTTTTTGAGAACTTCGACAAGAGCGATGTTGAAAAGAAATATGTCGTGGGCACTGTGTTTACTGTAAGTCAGAAATTAGGTGGTAATTTCATGATGTTTGTCAATATTTATTGTTTCCAAGGAACTTTACTATATTAATGTTTTATTTATTAACATACGGTCAAATAATTTATCGAGTCTAAATTATAAGTAAGAATATATTTGCGATTACACGACAAATATCAACTTGTGATACTTCAATGTTCTCAAAATTGTTACTTTTATTTGAATGTAACTGTAGTAAGTGCGACTATACAACTGTCGTGTAGAGATTTAAGAAATAATTTTGGTAAGATTTACTTATTTCGCCTGTGTTTTATAACCGTGAAATCGTTTTAGATTATGTTTAGCGTGTACATGGCAACTCAGTCAATAACGTTCTGCGTGCCGCACTTCGAGACGTTCGCCGCAGCCCGGGGCGCCGCCGCCACCGTGTTCCAGCTGATCGAGCGAGAGCCGGTCATCAACAGCCTGTCCAAGTCGGGCACGTCTCCGAGGCGCGTCATCGGCGAGATAACACTAGACAACGTGTACTTCAGCTATCCGTCCCGACCCGACGTCAAGGTAGATAGAGCTGTATTAAGCAGAAATCGGCCAGCAGGCATATTTGAAACAATTAGAGCAAGCGCTCTTTGACCCACTAGTGGCCGCCACTAGTGGCTCAGTCAAGCCACTAGGCGCAGCCACCGATCGCCGCCACTAGTGGCCACTCGAATGCTTAATTAGCGCAGATACTGTGCAAATTGTATGAAAAACCTCGGCCGCAGCTTGTGGACGCGTTTAGTGGCTCAATGAACGCTTGCTCTTAGTTCTACTACCCGATGTAAAGTTTGATTCTGTTTTATCCCAAAAACAACATGAGTACACAGAATCTGCTTTGCACTGATTTCAAAAATAGCTGCTGGTCGCTTTCTGCTTAATAAAATTATATCCTCCTTTTTAAAGATACACACATCAAAAGTGTCTAGGGATCAACATATATTTTTGCAATAACTTTTCTCCTGATTGATATTAATTAAAATTTTCTTTAAGGATTCATCAAATAAAGTGTTTTCGTTTGTCACAGTAACGATAAACCAAGTCACCTTTGCATTAATAAAGAAATTTGCCATTTTCCTAATAAAGGGATTTTTGACATTTGAACCACTAACACAAAAGTTCGAAAAAAAGACTGAAATAACAGTTTTCTCTAAAATTTTATTGGGTAACTTAAACAATTAATAATCCGTATTTCTACCGCGAACACTAACAACACAAGAACATCGGTTTGGCATACTCAAAATGAGTTCATCCAAATCACGCTGTGGAATGGCCGCCCATGTTCGTTGCAACAACAAAAAAAGGTCTTCTTGCGACTGGATACCCTCCATATTCGGCAGAGCTCTTCTCTGTAGCATATCCCATGCATGCTCAATCGGGTTCAAGTCTGGCGACTGAGCAGGCCAGGGCAGGACATTGATGTTAGCTGCGGCGAGAGTCTGTCTTACAACTCTTGCGGTGTGCGGTCGTGCATTATCATGCATTAACTGAAATAAGGGACCGATTTGCACTTGTAGAGGAACGATGACGTCTGATACAATCGTCTCAGCATAAATTTGAGCGTTGAGGTTGCCTCTGATCCAAATCAACTCAGTTCTTCCGCCGATCCAAATACCCGCCCATATCATGATGGTTCCACCACTATAAGGATGGACTTCCTGGCAGGATTTTAATCGCTGTTGGCGTCCAGGGGTTCTCCAGTGTCGTATACGTCTTGTATCCGGTCTCATACCAAAACGAGACTCATCAGAAAAGCACACGAAACGCCATTGTTCTTCTGCCCAATTTCTGTGTTCAAGAGCCCATTGATATCGAATCCTACGATTGTGCATTGCTATAGGTGGTACCCGTAGCGGTCTTCGGGAATGAAGGTTCACTTCATGCAAGCGGTTTCTGACTGTTTGGTCGCTAATTAAGTTCCCTGAAGAGTGATGAAGCCTCACGGCTAACATCATGGCGGTTATTGTTGGAGCTCTTCGAGTTAAGATTTGAATGTATCGGTCTTGTCTCCGTGTGGTGCAGCGATACCGTCCTCCATGGCGCTCAGCCACGGTACCAGTGCTTCGGTATCGTGTCCAAAGTCGACTGATAACACTCTGACTTGTATTCAGAGCTAAAGCCACAGTACGTTGCCGGGAACCAGCTTCTATCATTCCCACGGCTCTGAGCATTTCTTCCCTGCTTAAATGACGTCGCCGCTCCATAATAACGTTGGTTTTAATCAGTAGTAGGGAAACAGTAGCACTAATAATGTCTTCAATGCGTTGTATGTTTTTATAGGGAAAATATTGACAGCTGATTTTCATCTTTTACTCGAATTTGATTCACAGTTCCTGATTCAAATTATGAAATGCACCAAAAAGGATCCATATAAATTTATAAAATCATAAATTTATTACAAAGCCACATCTCAATCTCAAGAAATCCGCATAAAAATGCTTGATCCCTAGACACTTTTGATGTGTGTATTTCATGCTTGTAAATTTTGGTTCCTTATTATGAGACCTTTGTACATACTAGCGAGCGGGTTTGGTTTAGTAGGTTCTCATACAAAATTTTATTCCTCATCCTACCTACTTCAAGTTTTATATTCACGACATATATATCTATCTATGTATCTATGACACAAACACAACACGAAGCCTAAAACTGACTCTAGGTACATCTATCTCTAACCCGAAACTCGGCATAATCGATTCAGTGGTTGAGGTTTGAAAGCGTAAACGAACTCACATTCGTATTTATATTATTAATTAAGATGGCTTGAAATTTTTCGTGCATTTTATATTATATAAAAAACAGAAAGAGACATTAAAAATAAGAAGTGTGTCTACATTGTGAATAAGTACCTATGGAAAAAATATACAAATGCAACTTTTACTTTTTTAATTGTGAAAAATATTTACGTTTATGAAAAATGTATAATACAGACAAAAATAACATTGAAAATATCATGTGACAGATTTTGAAAGGACTGTCGCTACATATCAAGCCTGGAGAGTGCGTGGCCTTAGTTGGTTCTTCTGGTTGCGGCAAAAGTACTGTTTTACAACTCTTGCAACGATTGTATGACCCACACTCGGGAGAAGTGAAACTAGATAGAAAGGATTTGAAGAATCTCAATTTGGGGTGGCTTAGGTCTTCGTTAGGTAAGTCAGTAATAACATAAATAGCTTGCGCAGACGAAGGACTTTTATCTGCGGAGGACAAAACTCCCTGAATCGTGGAGAAAATTTCCGCCGAGGACTTGTCACAGACTCAACGCACACGACGTGCGAACATTTGTCCCCCGAATATTAGAAATACGCACGCTATGGAAGTAAATATATTTCCAGATTACGTTGTGTTGTAGGTAATTAACATGAAATTTAAGAAAAAAGAAAAAACGTTTCCAAAAAGTATTCCGTGTACATTTCTTTTTAAATCGGATCGAGCTCTCAACGCAGACTAAAGTTCGCTGTGTTCGTTGCTACGCCTGAGATGAGTTCGGTTTCTTTCTGGGACTTCTCCGTACTTTTATCCTGTATGGTCTCTCGGTATCCTTGATTGTTCGGAGGAACTTTTTGTATATAATATTTTACGCGGACAAAAGTATCTCGTCTGCGCAGGCTATAACGGAAATGAGATTATGTCACTTCATTGTTTATAAGCATAACTATTAAAATAAAATAAAATTGCATCCGCTTACGAGCATGCTTACGGTAATTTTTCATATTTTCAGAGTAAAAAAAGTATTAGCTATTTTTAAAAAACATTGATGTATTGTGTGAATAGAATTTACTAAAAAGTATCAATATATATTCAGGTGTAGTAGGACAGGAACCAGTGTTATTCCATGGAACAATTCATGATAACATCAGCATTGGATGTCCTGAAGCAACTAGAGAAGAAATCCAAAGGGTTGCTGACATGGCATATGCGCATGAGTTTATCATAAATCTACCAAACGTAAGTAAAAGTATGTTATATCATAATATGTTTAGAATATTGTCCAGTATGTAAAAATGTTCTTCCCATTTAACAAAAACATTGGAAAATTTACGAAAAAGTATAATTAATCGAAATAATAACGATATTACCATTTGATAGCAACAATTGAATATGTATAACGCGTAGTAACTTAAAAGGACCTGAAAATTTCAGGGCTATGACACAGTTATCGGTGAACGCGGAGCGTCACTTTCAGGCGGTCAGAAACAACGTATTGCAATTGCCAGGTCTTTGTTGAGAGAACCGGCTGTTTTATTATTGGACGAAGCCACTTCTGCGCTCGATCCCCACTCAGAGAAAAAAGTTCAGGCCGCATTAGACAGGGCTAGTCTCGGCCGAACCACTGTTACTGTATCTCACAGGTACATCACAATTTCATTCACAACTAAATATATTACGACATTTAAAGAAGTGATTGTAAGTTAATTATTCATGTTTGTTTTTAATTTAAGGTTGTCAACAATCGTCAATGCTGATAGAATTGTTTGTATGGATCAAGGTCAAATCGTTGAACAAGGAACGCATGCTGAACTAATGAAGTTGAAAGGTAAATATCGGAATATAAAGACCTCATTATTAAGAACATGCATTGATAACATGATAAAAATATCTAAATGCTATTGCTATGAAATTGTTAAGGTTAACTGATGTGATTGAAGTTCAATTAAGTTATCATACTTACGCTAATTTAATACTTGACTTTGTTCAGGATTTTATTACAAACTTGTGACTACTGGAAATGAGAATCATGAACCGGATGTTATTGAAACATTGCCTGAAGAAACAACAGCGGAAGAGGAAACCAATGAATTGACACTCGCACCCAGACACGATGTGAAGAGAAGATCCAACAGAAAAATATACAGGCATCATTCGTTGAAAAGAGGCAAGGAAAGCTTTACTACTTTCATTCTTAACATAACTTTCACTAAAGCTCACAGTTAATTCTACAACATCTCACTGAAATACTACATTTAATTTTATCAATACGCCAATTAGCCAGTACTTGTAAAATGATTCCTTAACATTTTCAACTTTCCATATAAGCAGAGATTTAAAACGGTATGTTTAAAAATATTTGTTAACAGTTCCCGTCGTTTCCAGATTCTCATGACTGGATGACACCACGTGGATCTATTAGCTCTGTAATGTCAACCGGCTTACAGAATTTTGTGTACAACGCTGATATTGAATCGGAAAATGAGAATGAAGATGATGAGGTAAAATAATACATTGCAAATATTTTATTTTGCCTCTAGCAACTTGTGCAGCAATTAATAAGCTTTCATTGAACTGAAATTTAATATTTTTTATATAAAACATTAAGAATCCTCTATGCAGACGATGCATTTTTTGTTTCAGGAAGTAAAACCTGTGAGTGATTGGGAACTGCTGAAATTAAATGCACCTGAATGGCCGCTCATAGTTATAGGATCACTAGCCGCCTTCATTCAAGGAGCGTGTTTCCCTGTATTTGCGCTCTTATTCGGTTATGCTTCTGGCGTAAGTTGACCTTTACATAATTTTTACTAACTGCTTAGAAATTTTCAAAATAAAAACTAATTGCCGCCGTATTTCTAAATAGTCCACGTTAGTAATAAAACCTAATACTGTCTTTTTAAGCAAACATAAAGTGACAAAATCGTTTTAGTCCGGGTTTAACTTTAGTCAACGTTTTATATTGCGCCCGGGTTGTTAATAAACGAAGAATAAGCTTGGATAAGTCATTCCATGTTTGTCTCCGTACATTGAATTACAAGTGGCGTTTGAGTGTTATGAACAAAGCACGGCGTAACTAGTCTCAACTTATTTCTCATTTATTAATAAGGAGGCAATAGTAAATCGGAGTTACTTACAGGTATTCGTGTTGCCCAATCGTGATGAAATCATTTACTGGGCGGACTTCTACTCTGGAATGTTCGTGGTGGTCGCAGCAGTCGCCGGCGTCACAATGTTCTTGCAGAGTACCACGTTCACCAACGCGGGGCTGAAAATGACCTCCAGGTTGAGACACCACTACTTCTCAGCGCTGTTGAGACAAGTGCGTTGAGGTTTATATTTTTACAAGCGGCCGCCCGCGACTTCGTACCCGTGAAGTTAGTTAGAAATAAAGGTTCACTGCTCGGACCCCGTAGGTGATAGCGTGATAATATGTATGCCTATATGTTGACCCGACTTCTTAATAACAATCGTGCCACATTTGAAGTAAATCCATGCAGTACTTTATCCTGGACATACATACAGACAAAATACTAAAAACTATATTTTTGGCTTCGGTATAAATTGGAGATCACACCCCAATTATTCTTTTAAAAAAATGTTCAATGTACGGTTTTTACTTTCCTACCATTTATTATATGTATGTATAGATGAACTCGCTGTTGTTAATTCGTGACCTCTCAGGTATTTATATCTTTTTTGTCAAATAAGATAGTACTGTTCCTGTGCTGTAATAAGTTGTGTTAAAAGGGCAATTTATTACTTTCGCTGCACAAAATCTACTAGCAATGCTAGAATTTACAATTTACCCCAAATACTTCATCTTCACTCTAACAATGCTTATTATAAAAACATCTTTGCTTAACAGGAAGTAGGAGTATCATACGTTACATTATCGTCGTTTGTTCAATGGCTAGTAAAAAAAAGGGCAATATTTACCTCGTCTAATACTCAAAATAATAAAGGTCTGGTATTGTATGCTGCTAAAATCTACTAGCAATACTAGCATCCGTTATTCACCAAACCTTCACTTATTAAAACTACTTTTTTTTGTATAATAAAAAATATTAATTAACTAAATTTTAAAGTTAACTTTATTTGTATTAAAACTTAAAAAAATCTTTTATGCACAGGAAATTGGGTACTTTGACAAAGAGAGTAACGCAGTTGGAGCTCTTTGCTCGCGATTGAGTGGTGATACAGCAGAAGTACAAGGCGCCACTGGCCTGAGGATAGGACTCATTCTTCAGGGCCTCAGCTCCGTGGTGGTCGGGTTCATCATGGCTATCTCCTATAATTGGAAACTTACCCTTGTTGCCACAGCGTTCTTGCCACTTGTGAGTATAGTCTGGAATGTCTTGATAAGTTAAACGTCGGTCTGCTTTTGACCCGACTAGAGGGAAAACGGTTCGCCGGTTATAGCTTTTCTTCTGGCGAGATGCTAGAGAAGACAAATTCTCACCTATTTTTAGATAACAAACACTTGTGATGTCTTGGAGAGGTCTAATGAATTTCGAGAGTCATGTTGTTGAACTTAGTATAAACCAACTTCACACCATATGTACTCGTACCTTTTTTTGACCGACAAGCAACAAATTATTCATCCCTACCTCATGTTAAGCGTAAGTGGAGTACAGTCGCGAAGATAGATGATGCGGCAGTAAGTGCGCCGCTCCAGCTATCCTCAGTTTGCCGGCCTGAACCCAATCCACTACCCCACTAGCCCTCAGCAAAAATACAACACCACCAAAAGGTAGGATTATTTTACTGTGGTCTTCTTTGAGGTGGGGGTTTCTTTCCCAGAAGGGTGCTCCATTTCGAGTGGAAAATCCGCTGTGCCCAACCTTTCTATCGTACCTACTTCATTCCTAATCCCACAAGAATAAGCTTGGATAAGTTACTCCATGTTTTGTCTTTGTTCATTGAATGACAAATCATATGCCATTGTTGTGACATGAACAAAACACGGCGTTACTAATCTAAGCTTATTCCTTGTTTATTAATAAGGCGGTGGGAGTCTAAGTCTTAGAAAAATATTAATAAACTAAATATTAAAATCAATAACGAGATGAAAAATTCGATTTTTTGAGTTGAACCATTGAAAAAAGTTTAAGTTGAATTCGTCAAATTAAAATTGTTTGTTTTGTATATTATCTAGTGCAAACGTCTTGATATGAATTTTATATGTAAAGATTTCATACTTTAAATAAACGATTACAACAATTAAACAGAACCACGTGCATGTCAATAACCGAGACACCAAGTCAAGAGTACCTAGTACATGTATCACAATTATTTACTTTCTCTTATCAGTATATCTGTGAGAACTTGCTTTGTTACTTAATCGATCTTATAAAGGTATACCTACCTACATAAAATCATTCCCATGTTTCTGTTCCTAAAGCGAGGAAAAACACTAATTCAAGTTACTTAAGAAAATATTTATTTTATTGTTTATTATTTTTACTTTATTTAGCATAGCTAGTTTTACTTTAGTTTCATTATTACCATCAGCCATAACTAAGCCCAGGCTCCAGCAGTGCCCCCACCACTGAAGATGGAATAAGGAGGTAGCGGATTGGTGGGTGCTAACGAATCCATGGGGTCTGGATCAACCTGGATCAACTACCTACTTAGGGATGGTCCATTAATAACGTGAGGGTCATAAGGGGTAGTGTTCGGAGAAAAATCACAAGAGGGTACATGTAATATTTTTTTTTTCGTTGAACGCATGATTTCTTATCCAAAGAGCGGCGCGTATCCTCGGCTCACTGTTGTCAGGTAATAATTTAAAGGTAATATTCTGAAAATGGCAATATATTATATGTACTAAAAAAATACACGTGATTTTAGGATTAACGTAGTCTAAAATCTTACCACGTATCACCAGGGAGGGCGATTATTTGTGTGTTTAAAAGTGGCTTAAAAACATCACATGATTAATCGATGATCCTTTAGCATCCCTTCCGTAACACGAAAGAAGTTGAAAAACAATTGTGGTCATCCTTCGGATGGCCGGCTTGCGAAAGTTTTGTGCTATTTTCGCTCTTGAATTAAAATGTACTATTGTTACTAATTATACTTTTATGGAAGACATAAAAGTAAACAAGCTACGCGAATAATAGTACACAATTCCTAAATATCAAATAGAATGCTTTAAAAATCCAACAGTTACCTAAAAAGACTGAATTCGTAAAAAATAATGTATGTTTTAGATGGTAGGCAGTATTTGGTTAGAAGGGATAATCTCGCAGAAGTCTCAGTCTGATGAACGCGAGGCTATGGAGCTGGCCACCACTGTCGCCACAGAAGCAGTCGTCAGCATCAGAACTGTGCAAAGTTTAGGTAAACAAACATAACAATTAAATTAATTTTTAGAGCGAGAGGAAATTGTCGACTTTACGCTCGAACTAGAGCGGGCAACTGTAAACTTATAGATGACAGTTATGAAATAACAATAAAACCACCTACCTAGCTATAGTGGTACGGTTTCATAAGATACAAAATTTTTCAAGACTTCCCTGGGTGATGTAGGTCATGGGCTAACACCGTTGTAGACGAACCCCATTGTTTGGTATCACAATCGACTATCGCTGCTTTTTCCCACCCTTTTAAAAAAAGATATTTTAATTATGTTTTTATTTTTTAAGCATTTAACTGCTAGATGTTTTGGTCCGCGTGGTTTTTTTTGTAGTAAACTTTTTTTTAGATTTATTTTAAGTTACAGTCGGTATCCCTCGTGATTATAAAACAATTCCAATGATACCCTATAAATTGAAATCTTAGTCTAGTCAACAAGTGCCTTTTTGGTCAACTTTTTTCAGCAGTCTCCGAAAATTATGATCGAGGTGTCATTCGATTCGGAATGGCATCTAGATGATTTTTGAAAAAAAAATGAAGTTCCGCAAAAAAAACTGCAAAAGTTATTAACAATTAAGTAAAAAAAAGGGGGTTTCGTTTTTTGCAAAAATCTCGAAAACTAATAAAGATATTTCGAATTAAAAAAAATATTCAAAAAGTGAAGGAAATTTATTAAAAAAAATCTCCCGACTCCCGGAACTGTAGGACCAATATTTATAATTTTCCCAGAGGGATGAGAATACGACCGAAAACGGGTCCTCTGGCTTACGTAAGCCACGCCTACTTTGGGCACTTTATTAATAAAAATATTTTAACATGTTTAACAATTTTATATTTAAAATTTAAGAAATGAAAAAAATCAGGGCCTTACTGGATAGATGAATGAACAATGATCTGCGTGAAAAAAAATATCACAATTTTTCAATTAGTTATACAATTGTTATTTAAATAAATTTTATTGTTAAACTATAAATTTGAGATTTTTTTCCTCTCTTGGAGCAATTCTTGAAGGCTTTAGAATAGATCCCCGTTGGAAAAATTAAAAAAAAAAACTATTTTTTATTAACAATTATCGTTGTTGCAAAATTAAAAATTTAAATTAATCATCGTAAAATTTTTTTTAATTAACAATTGCATAACTAATTGAAAATTTGTGATAAACTTTTTTTACGCGGATTATTGTTCATTCATCTATCCAGTAAGCCCCTGATTTTTGTCATTTCTTAAATTTTAAATATAAAATTGTTAAACATGTTAAAATATTTTTTATTAATAAAGTGCCCAAAGTAGGCGTGGCTTACGCAAGCCAGAGGACCCGTATTCGGCCGTATTTTCATCCCTCTGGGAAAATTATAAATATTGGTCCTACAGTTCCGAGAGTCGGGGCTTTTTGTTAGGAAATTTCTTCCTCTTTTTGAATATTTTTTTTAATTCGAAATATCTTTATTAGTTTTCGAGATATTTGCAAAAAACAAAACCTCCCTTTTTTTAGTTAATTGTTAATAACTTTTGCAATTTTTGTTTGCGGAACTTCATTTTTTTCATAAATCATCTAGATGCCATTTCGAATCGAATGACACCTCGATCATAATTTTCGGAGACTGCTGAAAAAAGTTGACCAAAAAGGCACTTGTTGACTAGACTATCTGTTCATGCATTAAAAAAATATGGTTTTGAAATAAAGTAACTCACATACACACTCACGGCAATAAATGAAGAAGTTGAGTGAATGATTTTTGGACAGTAGCGTAGAATTAATTAAGTCTTTCCAGCCTTAACATGAGTTTGACAATTAGACGCTATGAAAAATGTGATATAGTCTTAGATTAAAACAAAAAGGGGGACATTGTGGGTAATTGTGGTGCTCATGCTACGGGGACAGACAATCGTAGGTAAAATGGGATAGATCATGTGGTTTGACCGTTTACCAATATTAATGTTTACATTAAACTGTCACGTTTAAATGAACGTTTACAAACGTTCATTGACAGGCGTAGAGATCTTGTTCTTGGAGAAGTTCAAGGTGGCTCTAGAACAATCATGCAAAGCTGTGGCGAAGAAGACTAGGTTCCGAGGATTGGTGCTGGGCTTAGGCGTCTACGTGCCCTTCCTCTCTTACTGCAGCGCCACTGTGTACGGCACCTGGCTCGTCGCCAGGGAGAACTTAGACTACAAAATTGTATTGTTGTAAGTACCTTTTTTAACTTCGATGACTACTTATATTGTCATCAAGTTAAGCGTTATGTAGGAATATTAACTTCCCTACTATACGGTGTTTTTAATTAGGGATGTTGCTTATCATCTGTTTGTTACACTGTCATAAAAAAAAGATAATGAAACTTTTCAAGGGAAATCAATCATTTTAAGGAAAACTGGTCATTAGCTTAAAATATAAACGTTTTATTATTATGACTAACTAAACTGTGTCGGTCGAGGAAAACCAATACATTGTGTATTTATACACAAATTAATGTGTATAGCCACGACCCGTTTCGACATTTTGTGTAATGTTTCGGAAAAACACGCGCAGGAAGACCTCTTTGAAACATTTTCCAAAAAAAAAAAGCTTAAATTTTCCAAAAAAAAGCTCATCGTTACCTTCTAATGTGTTCAAGTTTTTTTTAATAATAATTATTATAAACTCTTTAAACGAGCATGCTTCATTAAAAATTCCTATTCAATACATTCAATATTTTTTATAACCTTCCAGGGTAACAAAACAAACATTCATTCATTTGATTTTTTGCAGAGTCAATGAAGCCGTGATGTACGGCGCTTACATGTTAGGTCAGTCTTTGGTATACGCACCGAGCTTTAACTCTGCCAAAGCGTGCGGAGCAAAGATACTGGCAGTGATCAACAGACAACCTAAAGTAAGAACTGAAGACGGAGTCAAGGATAAACGGGATTGGGTGAGTTATTTCATTAACTAAAATCATTTTTATTATCTAAATTGTAGTTGGCATTTAATTATGTAACCAGGGGCGACTTTACCCTGTGCGGAAAGAAGAATCTCTAAACGGGGATCCCGCGGTTTCGCACTAAGCAGCTTAGAGGGTATTCGCAGGGTTTTTTAGCGGATATTATGCCGTAAAGCGCCCGTAAGAGTTACGAGGTCCTCAGTGGGCAGCCACTGCGGGGGCTCGTAAGGCTTGCGGGAGCCAGATGTGAGGTCCGTTCGGCGGTGTTCCTCTTAAAGGCGCCGTCGTCTGTAAACAGAGGCTTTGCCTGCGTCACAAATAAAAAAAAATGGACGGGCCATGAGGGCCATGGCCCAGGGCGGCAGGCTGCTAGGGGCGGCTGCAAGAGCAGCGAGGGGCGGCAGAAGCCATAAAAAGTTATTCGTTACTGACCATTATGGTTTAATTTGATTAACTAATTCTTGAAGGTGGGCGAAGTGATGCAAACTGTAAGTAGCTCGAGGCACCAGATTTTATTTTTCCAATAATATTTCCTATTAATTGAGTAACTAATTGAGCCACCTAGTTAAGCAATTTGACCACAAGTATATTTTTTTTCTGTGGGACAAACTAGTTAGAACTTCAGGAAGAAAACAAATATTGGTTGGTGCCACAGCTCCCAGACCCCTTGGACTTACCGACCAAAAAGTTTCACTAACGTTTAAAAAATAATTTAAGAGTACAACTGGCAACTTCAGTATCAAGGAGGTGGAATTCAGCTACCCCACCCGTCCCAACCAACGGGTTCTCAGAGGCGTCGACTTGAAAGTGGAAGCCGGCAAGACAGTAGCTTTAGTGGGCTCCTCTGGATGCGGGAAGTCGACTATACTGCAGCTGCTGCAGAGGTTTTACGACCCTGACACCGGCAATATTGTAAGTAAAACAGCTTTTGATAATATAGTTTTTGAGCGGATATCACACTTATATTATAAAGGCGAAAGTTTGTGAGTGTGAATGTTTGTTACTGCATCACGTCTAAAACGCTGGAGCGATTTTAATAAAATTTGCTGTCGAGTTAGCTGACACCCTGGATTAACACATAGTTTACGTTTTACTGCGGGAAATGTCCCTAATAAACCGCGGGTAACACCGCAGTGTACAGCTAGTAAGGCATAATTCATGGACCAAGTCGTTATGAAATCCATTCAGTCCATAGCACGACTACACTTCTGGACACATCTATTGGCCCACCTTGTATTTTCAGTTTCGTTTGGTCCTAGCTAAAATTTTATATTAGATCGAGCAAAAAGTTTTTATGCAGTTTTGAACCTGGCACATTCACAATTTCATTCAATAGTCTTTTTTTGAATTTCGAACACAGAATTTAAAGAAACAAAAGACAATTTGGAGCCTGTTTGTTGATATCAAACAATCGAATACTAAAAAAACTTGGTTTTATTGGTTTACTTGGATTTAATTCTTGAAAAAGTGATTGATATCTTTGGTTTTGCAACAAACATTACTTATTCTTAACATTAAGGTGAGGTTCTATCAATAATCTATGGATACTTCACCTGAAGTCACCGCCCAAGCTGTGGCACTTATTCAGGCCGGACACAGCCAAAGAAACGTGAATGCTCAACTTAATTTAAGTCGATCTGCGGTCCGAAATGTTTATCAGAGGTACCTAGAGACTGGCGGCTTTGTTCGTCGCCAAGGAAGGCCACGATCTCGGGTCACAACTGAAAGGCAGGATCGATTCATCGTGACGACCAGCTTGAGAAATCGTCACCTTACCTCCATTGAGATACAAAAACAAATTCGCGACTTCCACGGAGTATCTGTGAGCGCTCGAACTGTTCGGAGAAGGTTAAAAGAACGCGATATGGTACCACACAAGCCAGCTAATGGGCCCAAACTAACGCGAGCCCACCGAACAGCGCGCCTTCATTTCGCACGCAGTCATTTAAATTGGACACAGCAAGATTGGAGCCGTGTACTATTTTCTGATGAGTCTAAAATTGTGTTACATGGCAATGATGGAAGGAAGAAGGTTTACCGACGTAAGGGAGAGCGTTTCGCACAATGCTGCTATGAAGAGAGGGTTGCTTATGGCGGTGGCTCATGGACTGTCTGGGGCGGTATATCCGCGAGCGGCAAAACTCAACTTGAGGTTGTTACAGGACCACGGCTGCCAACATTAAATACTGAAAGGTACATTCGTGAGTGCTTAGAACCTCACGTGATATCCATACGCGGACTATGTGGGCCCAAATTTCCTTTTTATGCATGATAATGCAAGAGCCCATGCTACCGGCATCATCAGGGAATATCTTCGGGATGTGAACATCACAGTTATGGACTGGCCAGCCTGAAGCCCAGACATGAACCCCATTGAGGACGGTCTTTTCGTACGCTAAGATTACCCCGATTTCCCTAAAAATTTGTAGGCAGATTCTAGATTTTTTGTTAGACCTTAATCCGTTATAAAAATACAGTCAAATTCAATAGTTTTCAAAATATTTCAATTTTCACTTTTTGTAGCAATTTGTAGTAAATTTCGTGAAATCAATGTAAACAAAGATTGCGTTGATGTCTTTTGTATAGGACAAAACATTTTCAAATTTTAATTATTTCATCAAAAAATCATTTTCAGTTTAAGTTTAGTTTTTTATAGCACATAAGTTTCCTTACGTCCGGGCACCCATTCGGTACCTGAGTGAGCGATAAACACCCAGGCACCAAAATTATACGGGTGATTTTGTAAAAATAATTGTAAAATTCATAACTCTTCCAGTTTTTATTGGATTTTCGTAATTCCTTTTTAGAACTATTTGGTTAACGTAGTACTATCTTATCAATATTAAAAATTTATTAAATTCTAACTGTAAGTAATTTTAAATTGCCAAATTAAAAATTTATACTGTAATTTAAATAAATTAAGTGTAAAAACTAAAATACTTAGATTAATCAATTATTTCAAATACTGAAAAATATTAGGAGCTTTAAGGCTTTAGCTAACATTTAATTCATAAATTTAACGTTTAAGATAAAAATTCTACAAGACTTTAAAGTTTTTTTTTTTTTTCAAAACCTAACCTAGCCCTAACCTAACCCTAACCTTTAACTAATTTATGATGACGTGTCGAACGCCGACACAAAAAACACCGATACTGGGGTCTCAAATGGAAGATTCGGACAGGTTCAAAACCCAGGTAAAAAACCAAAGGCTCGAAAAAACCTAACGGAGGTAATAATGCAATCGCAGCAACCTCCCTCAGAGGATCAGCCTTTTATGAAAAGAGCGTGGAACCTGTACGATGCCGCTAAAGAAAAGATGAAAGTCTCAGGAAATTTGAGGAAGGATATAAAGCAGCAGATGGAAGAGAGTTTAGAAGGAATGTATAAAATAATACAAGAGATGGAAACTAAACTGAAGTATACTACATCGCCAAACGACTGTTCGAATAAGAAGGGAAATATTGACCAAAAGAAGGAACAGATAGAAAATAATGTCATATTAAAAGAAGTCAGGGAAATAAAGAAAATCCTGTTGGAAGACCGCAAATCATATGCCGAAGCAGCGGCAAACGCAAAGGTGCCGAAATATCAAGCACCCGAGGTACAGCCAATGCAACGAACGGAGACTCCAACACACAGTCTAATTATTTCCTCTGATGATACAAAGGACACAAGCAATGCAGTAGTCACCAAAATACGAGAAGCTGTCGATGCGAAAAACAGCAGACTTCACGTTGACCGCATCCGAAAAGTTAAAAATCAAAAAATATCAAAAAAAATTAATGGCCAAAAGAACCTTAAAGTTGAAGCCGCTAAAAACAAGGATCCCTTAGTCATCATCAAAGACGTACTCACGTACAACACGGATGAAGACATAATAAGCGCAGTAAAAAAGCAAAGTGCGCACATAACGCAAGACGTAGCGGAGGAAGATTTCCGAGTGGCAGTTAAATATCGCATCAGGGCCCGTAACCCCCTCGAGAACCACGTTATCCTCCAAGTGTCTCCAAAAATATGGAAAAACATGACAACCTCTGGAAAAGTCTACATCGACATACAAAAACGCACTGTGCAAGACCAATCACCAGTCATACAATGCACAAAATGTTAAGGCTTTGAACACGGCCGCAAACTGTGCAAGGAGCAACATGATCTATGCTCCCATTGTGGTGAAACGCATATGAAAGCTGACTGTCCGCTTTACAAAAACGAAAATGAACCGGTGTGTAAAAACTGCAAGGACGCAAAAATCGAAAACCACAATCACAATGCGTTCGACAGCCGATGCCCAATCCGCCAAAAATGGGACGGAATAGCACGTCTGTCTATAAGTTATTGCTAAAGTTGTCACGGGGAACAACCACGCAGTTACTGCAAACGAGCAAAACACAAAGCACTTCATAATACAAGCTAACCTACAGAGACAAAGATTAGCTACACAAGAACTAATAAACGAAGCAATTCAAAGGAAAGCAAGCATAGCACTAATTCAGGAACCATACGTGGGTTCAACAGGATTGGTTCAAGGATATTCTGGCACACGCATCATTCAAAAAATGCAAAATAGAACTAAACACGTTAAATCTGCTATTCTAATTTTCAATAACGATATAAATATAACAATAAATCCATCTATACAAACAGAAAACATACCACAGTAATAATAAATACAAATAAAAAAAGAAAATTAGCCTTAGTATCAGTTTACCTCGAACCAGACCAAGACCTAGAACCTTCCTTGTTAGAACTTACCAAAATTCTGAAGGAGCTCAAAGGTGGCGAAGTGTTGCTCGGAGGAGATGTAAATGCGTGGAGTACCTGGTGGGGAAGCACGTCGGAAGATCATCGTGGCGCAGAGATAGTAGCTTTTCTGGAAGAGAAAAAAGTACGGGGAGGAAAATTGTACACAAGCAGAGTGGATATAACGGCATGTACCGAATCACTCATCCCGAAAATAAATAACTGGAGAGTAGACAAAGAAATCACAAATTCGGATCACAATGCTCTTACATACACTCTGAATATGGGAAACAAACAAGATAATTCAGACAGGAAAACCACAAGAATGTATAAAACAAAAAAATTGGACTGGACCGCGTTTTTAGCGGAATTCCAAAAACAAATAGCAACAAACTGAAAGACTCACCAGACTGCACATGCGCTGCAGGAACTGAAGAAACCATACTCCACCTGTTAACAGAATGCAAAAATCATACATTAGATAGATTAAATTTGGAAACTGAAATTAAAACAAAAATAACAAAAAATAATATAAAAGAAATCATGTTAAATTCTAAAATAAGACAAAAATTTTATCTTTTACAGTAAAATTAGTAAAAATTGCAAAGAAACGAAACAAAACGTAAAAACACTATCAGTAAAATTAAGTAATAAAACAAAATTAATATAGCAAAGTAAAACAAACCAGGTATAAAAAGATACGGACAAAAGTCTGAAGAAATTAGAAAAGAAAAAAAAAAGAACCCCATTGAGCACATGTGGGACGAGCTAAAAAGACGTGTTAGGGCTCGTCAGCCAGTTACCCAGACGATGCAGGAGTTGAAAACTGCCATAGAAGAGGAATGGGAGATGATCCCTCAAAATTTCATAGAGCGGTTGATAAACTCTATGCCTAATCGTATGAGAGCTGTGGTAGATGCCCATGGAGGCAACACGCGTTATTAAATTAAACCTTTATTTGATAAAACATGTTTTTTATTCAAATATCAATTTCCTTTAACAATGCGCATATCCGACTTGTTAGGCGTAGCTCCATGTCGTATGGTATTCTGAATTCAAATTTAAAACAATACGATCGAAAAAGATGGTAAAATGTATCAAGTTTAAAACTGTATCAACAGTTTTTGTTCAATCTAGCAATCATATTTCGGTAGGGCCCATCGAAACCTAAA